TGATAATAACTATATGTTATTAAAGACATCAGCAGACAAAAACTGATTACATTTCTGCTCAATCTATAAATCCATATATATATCACCTTGTTGTGGGCATTACTCATACACTCTGTCATCAGTATACTGGGTATGTGAAGTAGGTGCCTCTTCTAGTGACCTGTTCTTGCTAAATACAATGTATTGGCTATTTTTTTATTGTGCGAATCTTGTTTGAGGCATTATTTGGTTTTGATTTTACTGCCTGACAAAATTTGCAAGTACAAGTACTTACCTCATTTAAAATAGAAGCATGGTAAACTAGACTGGTTATGTGTCTCATTGAGAAATGGTTTTAAGTTAAAGAAGATTGTTGATGGCCAGTACTGGCTATATATTACAGGGGATTGTTGCCTGGGTGATGACTGGCTATAAGTTACAAGGGATTGTTGACTGGGTGAGGACTGGCTATAAGTTACAAGGGATTGTTGACTGGGTGATGACTGGCTATAGATTACAGGATATTGTTGACTGGGTGAGGACTGGCTATAGATTACAGGATATTGTTGACTGGGTTAGGACTGGCTATAGATTACAGGATATTGTTGACTGGGTGAGGACTGGCTATAGATTACAGGGGATTGTTGACTGGGTGAGGACTGGCTATAGATTACAGGATATTGTTGACTGGGTGATGACTGGCTATAGATTACAGGGGATTGTTGACTGGGTTAGGACTGGCTATAGATTACAGGGGATTGTTGACTGGGTTAGGACTGGCTATAGATTACAGGTTGTTGACTGGGTTAGGACTGGCTATAGATTACAGGATATTGTTGACTGGGTGGGGACTGGCTATAGATTACAGGGGATTGTTGACTGGGTGATGACTGGCTATAGATTACAGGTGATTGTTGACTGGGTGATGACTGGCTATAGATTACAGGGGATTGTTGACTGGGTGATGACTGGCTATAGATTACAGGGGATTGTTGACTGGGTGATGGCTATAGATTACTGGCTATAGATTACAGGATATTGTTGACTGGGTTAGGACTGGCTATAGATTACAGGATATTGTTGACTGGGTTAGGACTGGCTATAGATTACAGGATATTGTTGACTGGGTTAGGACTGGCTATAGATTACAGGATATTGTTGACTGGGTTAGGACTGGCTATAGATTACAGGATATTGTTGACTGGGTGGGGACTGGCTATAGATTACAGGGGATTGTTGACTGGGTGAGGACTGGCTATAGATTACAGGGGATTGTTGCCTGGGTGATGACTGGCTATAGATTACAGGGGATTGTTGCCTGGGTGATGACTGGCTATAGATTACAGGATATTGTTGACTGGGTGATGACTGGCTATAGATTACAGGGGATTGTTGACTGGGTGATGACTGGCTATAGATTACAGGGGATTGTTGACTGGGTGGGGACTGGCTATAGATTACAGGGGATTGTTGACTGGGTGATGACTGGCTATAGATTACAGGATATTGTTGACTGGGTGAGGACTGGCTATAGATTACAGGATATTGTTGACTGGGTTAGGACTGGCTATAGATTACAGGATATTGTTGACTGGGTGATGACTGGCTATAGATTACAGGATATTGTTGACTGGGTTAGGACTGGCTATAGATTACAGGATATTGTTGACTGGGTGAGGACTGGCTATAGATTACAGGATATTGTTGACTGGGTGGGGACTGGCTATAGATTACAGGGGATTGTTGACTGGGTGAGGACTGGCTATAAGTTACAAGGGATTGTTGACTGGGTTAGGACTGGCTATAGATTACAGGATATTGTTGACTGGGTTAGGACTGGCTATAGATTACAGGATATTGTTGACTGGGTGAGGACTGGCTATAGATTACAGGGGATTGTTGACTGGGTTAGGACTGGCTATAGATTACAGGATATTGTTGACTGGGTTAGTACTGGCTATAGATTACAGGATATTGTTGACTGGGTAAGGACTGGCTATAGATTACAGGATATTGTTGACTGGGTGAGGACTGGCTATAGATTACAGGATATTGTTGACTGGGTGATGACTGGCTATAAGTTACAAGGGATTGTTGACTGGGTGAGGACTGGCTATAGATTACAGGGGATTGTTGCCTGGGTGATGACTGGCTATAAGTTACAAGGGATTGTTGACTGGGTTAGGACTGGCTATAGGTTACAGGGGATTGTTGCCTGGGTGATGACTGGCTATAAGTTACAAGGGATTGTTGATTGGGTTAGGACTGGCTATAGATTACAGGATATTTTTGACTGGGTGAGGACTGGCTATAGATTACAGGGGATTGTTGCCTGGGTGATGACTGGCTATAAGTTACAAGGGATTGTTGACTGGGTGAGGACTGGCTATAGATTACAGGGGATTGTTGACTGGGTGAGGACTGGCTATAGATTACAAGGGATTGTTGACTGGGTGAGGACTGGCTATAAGTTACAAGGGATTGTTGACTGGGTTAGGACTGGCTATAGATTACAGGATATTGTTGACTGGGTTAGGACTGGCTATAGATTACAGGATATTGTTGACTGGGTTAGGACTGGCTATAGATTACAGGGGATTGTTGACTGGGTTAGGACTGGCTATAGATTACAGGATATTGTTGACTGGGTGGGGACTGGCTATAGATTACAGGATATTGTTGACTGGGTGGGAACTGGCTATAGATTACAGGGGATTGTTGACTGGGTGAGGACTGGCTATAGATTACAGGATATTGTTGACTGGGTGGGGACTGGCTATAGATTACAGGGGAATGTTGATTGGGTTAGGACTGGCTATAGATTACAGGGGAATGTTGATGGGTTAGGACTGGTTGTAAGTTACAGGATATTGTTGACTGGGTGAGGACTGGCTATAGATTACAGGATATTGTTGACTGGGTGGGGACTGGCTATAGATTACAGGGGAATGTTGATTGGGTTAGGACTGGCTATAGATTACAGGGGAATGTTGATGGGTTAGGACTGGTTGTAAGTTACAGGATATTGTTATGGATTAGGACTGGTTGTAAGTTACACAATATTGTTAATTGGTTAGGACTGGGTGTAAGTTACCCAAGGTTGTTGATGGGTTATGACCGGTTGTAAGTTACAGGAGATTGTTGATAGGTTAGGACTGGTTGTAAGTTTCAGGAAATTGATGACAGGAGAGGATTTGTTGTAAGCTACACGATATTGTTGATGGGTTAGGACTGGTTGTAAGTTACACGATATTGTTGATGGTTTAGGACTGCCTGTAAGTTACACGATATTGTTGATGGTTTAGGACTGCCTGTAAGTTACAGGAGATTGTTGATGGGATAGGACTGCCTGTAAGTTATACGATATTGCTGATGGGTTAGGACTGCCTGTAAGTTACAAAAAAGAGATTGTTGACGGGTCAGGACTGGCTGTAAGTTATAAGATATTGTTGATGGTTTAGGACTGCCTGTAAGTTACAGGAGATTGTTGATGGGATAGGACTGCCTGTAAGTTATAAGATATTGCTGATGGGATAGGACTGCCTGTAAGTTACAGGAGATTGTTGATGGGATAGGACTGCCTGTAAGTTATAAGATATTGCTGATGGGATAGGACTGCCTGTAAGTTATAAGATATTGTTGATGGGTTAAGACTGGTTGTAAGTTTCAGGAAATTGCTGATGGGATAGGACTGCCTGTAAGTTACAGGAGATTGTTGATGGGATAGGACTGCCTGTAAGTTATAAGATATTGCTGATGGGATAGGACTGCCTGTAAGTTACAAAAAAGAGATTGTTGATGGGTTAGGACTGGCTGTAAGTTTCAGGAAATTGATGATGGGAGAGGACTTGCTATAACTATGAGTTAAAGGAGATTGTTATCTGGGTTACTTGCATATTATGCCTTGTCAGGATTTGTATTCATAGTATAATTTTTTGGTGTTCTGTTGACATACTTAAGTGAAACAATCATAGTTCAAATATTGGTCGCTGGAATATCTTTTAAAATTGAAAAATATTTTAGGTAGTTCTTTGAAATTTGTGTATCACATATAATTTAACAATAATTTATTTCAAATTCAAATTGAAAAAAAAACACCAATGAATCAAATAATATTGTGTTAAGTGAAAAGAAATTTCCTGAAGCCATGAACTTATTTACCCATGCTTATGTCAAATGTTCTATTTCAGATTTATATGATAATGATGCTATCCTTTCTTACCCATAGGTGGGCCTCGACCTCAGCAAGGTTTTCCCCAGAGTAGTGGGCCCCCAAATATGTTCCCTGGTGGTCCTTCAGGTCCTAGAGGACCACAACCTGTCCCAAACCATCCTCAAATGGGTATGCCTCCCCCCGGGCATCCCCAACATCGCCCTCATGGACCATTCCCTGGTTCCATTGATAATAGATTTGGTCCTCCCCCTCAGCAGAGATTTCCATCACCGGGAGGCATGAATCAGTTCAACAATCCACCCCGCCAGCACCAGCCCGGCCCAGGAGGACCTGGTCTATTGGGCAATGCACCTCATCAGCACCCTAGGGGTAACCAGTTTCCACCTCACATGAATCAGAACCAGCGTCCTCCCCATCATGGTGGACCAAGGCAACAGTTCCATCTGAACCAGCAAGGTAATCCAGGTAACCAAGCCAGTAGAGGTAACCAAGGTAATCAGCAACACTTTCAGCCTCCAATGCCACCACATCAGATGAGGATGCCCCAGAATAATCAGCAGCCTCGTCATCCCATGCAGCAACATCTGCCCCGGCAACATCATCCACACCAACAACAGCCACGCCAACAACAGCCACATATGCAAAATCAGAACCGACAGAATCAGTTCCAGCCAAGACAGCAGTTCAGTGGCAACAAAAGAAAGTAAGTTTAGAGAGTTTAGTGTTATTTTCATGTTGTACAGTGGAATATCATATAGTGTAATGTAGTTGGATTGTTTGTATCTTTTGTTTTAGGGAAACACATTATAAACTGAAATAATGGAAACATTTACATATTAAAACAATCTACTAGTGACAATTGGATCATATATTTGAAAAGTTTATTTCTAGCTTTCAGTGTTGTTTGTTATGTACATGTTACATTCTTCCAGCTGTATGAATGAGTAAAGGCAATGATGGGAAGTAACTTTGTGACAGGCTGACCTCTTTTCAGAGGTCTTACTTCATAAGCGATTCTTGATAATCTGATAAAGTATTACAATTCTTGTATATTTTAACAGCTTCAACAGGACATCCCAGGAAGACAATCAACAGATTCAGAGTATACAGGTGATCAGTCGTGGAAAACGCCAGCCTGCAGACAAAGACAAAATTGAACACTCTCCTGCTAAAGTAGCGAAGTCAGAGGTAGGGTAAATTGTACAGTCAAGGTCAGAAATTGATGGACAGAAATAGGCAAGTAGACTTTTGCCAAAAAAACATACCATTATTTTATGCAAGTTTTTATCATCAGATGTTATGTTTAGCTGGAAGAAATGATGTATGCTAGCTAGGTTGTTAGGAAAGTCCAAATTCCAAAAATCATCTCTGGTTAAAACCTGTCAATCTACCATTGAAAAGGAGTTAAAAGAAACACTTTACAATTAACTCTGTATATAAGTTGTATATGCGTATGAGTGAATCAAAGATTTGTTTGTAGGAGATAGTTGACCCAGTTTTAAAAGCCAAATTGGAAGAGCAAAAACAAAAGAGAGATCGCATCATTAGGTTAAAGGAAGCAAGAAGACAGGCTTTAGCTGGTGTGAGGAGATCTCAGCTAGAGAAAAAACTGGCAGAGGAAGGTGAGAGATGACAAGTGTTTATTATAAATAGAAAACTTAACTGAAAAAACCTGCTGAGGATATATGTTACTTAATGAGTAACTGTTGTCTATATTGTCTTGTTAAATGCCAAAATAGGCTTTCATGGACAAATTATATGTAAAGAAAGGACTGGGGTGACATAGAAAAGACTGATTGATTTTGGTAAAGGCAATGGCTTTAAGGGTATTTTCATCCCCAACATATTTGGAGAGGAAGAGGGAGACATAGAATTACTCCAGTCCATACTATCATCTTATGTCAAATCAGTGTCATAGCTTAAGAACCTCTCCATGGATTTGGCCCATATGAAACCTTAGCGGTAACTTCTACCCTTATCCTATTAATTGGTCAATTTTAAGAAGCTAAAGGTCATGTTTGGAAGCTTCTACAAATTCATCTAACAATGATACTTATAATGTGTGGGAGAAGGTGGTTTCATGTCTTACAGACATTTTTTAGATTCTCGTGTTTATATTTAATCTAATTGATCATGTTTACTGTTTTACATCAAAGTAATGTTACATTAAATGTATTGTGATATGAAGACAACTGAGTAATAAAAAAAAATTGATTACAGGAAAGACCATAGCTGATGTAGAAAAGAGTGTTGTTTCTTCTCCAGCAGTTAAAAATAACACAATAGGCCAAGTTGTGAGGCAAAATAGTGCTGGTCATCAAGGTCAAGGTCAAAACCAGAGTCAGCATTTTCAGCACCGGGCCCCTAATACGGGACAGCCACGATTTGGCCCAAGGCAATCCCAACAGTTAGGTGGTCCGCGTGGGCCAGGACAGACCGGTCCAAGGCAACGCTTCCCTGGTAACAGGCCAGGTGGTCCAAGAGGAGGACAACACCTTGAGGGTCCAAGACCTCCAGGTCCAAGACCTCCAGGTCCAGGGAATACCAACCCACCAAATACAAATGTTCAACGTCAAAATTCTCAACCAGGCAATCAGAACAGACAAGTAAATATGCCTAGTCAGACAACATCTCAGGGAAATACTAACCAAAATGCTAGCTCTGGAAAGGATGGGAACCTGGTTCTGAAACAGAGGGTTACCATTCTGAAGAAAGATATACATGGAAAAGTGATTTCTAGAACAATTATGTTGAAGAATATCAGCAAACCAGGAGGTGTTAAAGATGACCGTAAGGTGACCATTCCTGGTGGTAACACACAGAGGACAGTGGTCAACAAGCCTGCAGGACCTGTTCAGAGAAAAGTTGTCCAAAATCAGGAAGGCAGGGTGAGTTTTTCCTGAACGGATCAATATGATACTTGTGTATATTATGTCTAAGCTCTTACTGGTTGATGGCCGTATTATGTGTTGATGGGCTGTTATTTTTTTTTTATTGAAAACATTACATATATTGAAAGACTAGAAAAACGTTTCTTGTACAATTTATATGTATATTATAATTCTCCTGGAAAATATTATATGATATTTGTAAAGTAAAAACCTAAAAAGTATCAAGCAGGTTAAAAAAGTTGACAGATTCTGATGAGAAATATTGAAGTTTCCAGATCATTGCTTCTGAGATGTCCCTAGACATGACATTGTCTTTGGGCCTTTGATCTGAGGAAGTGCACTCAGTTAATTTACTGTCTTACTTGGTTACAGATATTTGTATCCCTTGGTATAAAAGATGCACAAGCTACCAAGTGGTTATCTTTCTAATTTCTGAAAGGTCAAAGTTACTTATGTAACTAGAAAATAAGTTTTTCTAGTTTTACTAGCAAGGGTTTGCTAATAAAACACCCCCTCCTTACAGTGCTTCTTTTGAATTATATTTAGGTCATAAGTCTGATGTCTGGATCTGTTATCAATATGTATGTACAATTGGTTTCGGCACAATAATGTTATTTCTCTTGACATGAGCAAATTCAAATATAGACTTTGCTGTTCTGTTGACAGAGGGTGGTTGTTGGAGAGTCACCTCGCATGTCCAAGGTTGTGTCTGTTGACAACCTCTCTGTGTCCACCACGGAAGCTAACATCAGGAAGATGTGTTTTGGCATCGGAGAGGTAGAGGTAAGTAGTGATTGGAAATGGTAGGTTTTTACTTGTTAAGATACCTTGGTTGCATAGAAACACAAGTACAAAAAAGACAAAAAAGAGTGTTAGACTGATTTATGAACTGTGTTGTAATTTTAAAAATTTAGACTTGCTATATAGTTGTATATGTTTAAGAAATGAATGTAGCCTTGATATTGTATTGTTATGTAATACTCATTTAAGAAAAGTTATATCCAATAAAATATTCACAAAAGGTTTAATTATGATAGAGATTTGTGAACAAGGAAGACATTTAGTTTAAAAATTAGAACCTTAATATTGTGTCCATTCATTTGAATCCCTTTGTAGGATATCCAGTTAATGAAGGGTCAGAAGAAAGCCTTGGTAACCTTCCATGATGTTAACAGTGCTGCTCAATTCTCAAAGAAATTTAATAGGTGAGTGTCAACAGTGAAACATTTCTGGTTTCTAATCTGCAGTATTTATTGCCTAGAATCAGACTCAGATCACATATTGCCTACTTTCCAGACAATTAAATACAATATAGAGTTTGATAATGAACAGATTATGCTTATTGTTTTTATATTCAATGAGTGAATGCTTACATATTTCAACACAGAAACACAGGTTTTCCAGAAGTGAGTGTATTGGGTAGTGCTGTCAGATGATGCACTGTATTGGACAATCAAGAGCAGGAAATGAAGATTAAATTTGAAAAAGATTGTTTCATTTCCAATTTATCTTCCTCAGAATTCTTCAAGATGACATTGTATAGTGGTATAGATAGATCGACTTATGAATGTCTTTCCCCTTGATAGGAATAGGTTGATAGCATGTTTTTAAGTTGATAACTATTACTATAATTTGTTCAACTATTAGCAATAGTTTTATAACACCACAAAAATGGTACTTGAAAGCAAGATTTTTCACCCGAGTTATTGCAAAAAGGCTGCAAGCCTTCGTTTATTTATGAAAGCATGTTTGGGACCTCAATTGGGATAGCACTAAATTAAAACCACCACAATCACCTAATTAGAATGGAAGCAGCATCATGTTTATATCAGTGGTGTGATATATAATAGATGTAAATGGAAGGAAATCACTTTTTGTAACTGTCACCATACTAAGCTTTTATCCCCTAAGGTCCACTGATATATCATCAGTTCTACATGGTGTGCAGTTTTTATGTAGTCAAGTGGATGAAAGTCCTGAAAGTTTCTGTTAAATCATGTATTTGATGAACATTCATGTATTGATTTGTTTGAGAATGTTTCTCTTGTTAAATTTCAGGCATATGTTGGATCTCTCTCACATAAACGTGACACATCTCCCAATCTGAGGTTATCTTCTACCACCAGGCAGGCTGACACTCTGAATGTGATCACAGACAGCTTTGATATGCAACCAAGGATGAAGATAATTTAAGGTGATGCTGGAATATTGCATTTACTTGAACAAAGTATGTACAACATCTCGGACAAAGAGTTGCAACAGAAAAGACACACATGTTCACTTTAGCTTAGATGCATTTACATGTGATGAATGCATGGAAAATACTGAAGATGAAATCACATATGTTGAGGACATTTATTTAATGACTCAGCATGGATAAGTTCATAAGATATATCTGCCTTGGTGTGATTCATGTCATGAATATGCGGTATGGAACAGTTTGCGGAAAATTGTAACATCATACAGCCAAGATCCTTCACTGATGTCTGAAATCTATATACTCTGAAAGGAGGCTCACAAGACTGATATTGTTTGATACTCTACAGATTAAGACAGGAAGTGAGGACCTAATCTGAGAGAAAATCAATTTAATGAAAATTGAAATTGAAAGTTAAAAAAAAGTTCATCCTGCAGATGTTATGTGGTTTCCTGATAAGATCCTAAGTTTGTTGTGTCTTTGATATATAGATAGTAAATTTTATAACAAGACAATCATAAACAATCATTGTTTTTATCTCCTTCTAGATTTTTGGTGATAATATTTTCTCTCAATAAATCATACCTTTTGTCATTGTTAAATTAGGCATCAGAAGGAATCTAGATTTTTTTTTTTTTAACATATATATAGGTAAAATTAAGGATTATCAAAGTCACATTTATCCTGATGTCTTCTATTGATAGATGGTCGTTGAGATATATTAAGATGTCAAACTTATCATCTTAACTTACAATGGTCTAATAAGTGATTTTTCATCCAATATCAAAAATTATCTTTAAAGAAAAATTTTGGACTCATTTTGCATAGGTCTTGCTATCTCTGTTTTTGAGAAATTAGCAAAATTTGTTATCAGTCTGTATTTCTAGAACAAAGATTATTTTATCATCGTATCTAACATTTCAGATGACATTTCCTGAACGGGAAGTAAAATCTTTTTTGTCTGTGTCTTACTCTCCAATTTTAGAGTGTAATTGATATAATTATTTATCAATAAGTCTGAAATTACTGACAGGAGACCAGATTATTTCCTTTTTGTTTTATTGTAAAGATATGAAAACTTTTTGAAAATGATAATTTTAGGTGAATTTCCAAATGTTCGGTTAGACTTTTAAATAAGTTTTTGAATCAATCAGTAAGGAATGTAATTGATCAAAATTAAACATGAGATAGAATGACTTGTTCTTGAGACAAAATTAAGAAAATAGGGTTATACAAGATAATAAATCATTATAGTAGTAATGATACCTAAGACACGTTTAATACAACAATGGATTGTAAACTCTTAACATCAATGATGAAGCGAGCTGATAAAGATGTTCTGGATCTGGATCGAAGGATCGTCTTCATAAAGTTAGTATTGGGCCACTTTTCTTGATTAAACACTAAGAACATTAAGCACTGCCTGAAATGTACTTTCCTTGGTATTCCTGAAGAGATACGAACAGCATTGATGCGTGTCTGTTGTGAATATGTCTAAAAGGATTGCCATCATTTGGTAATCTTTATGATGATATGATTGCAAGTAGGCTGTTATGTACCTATGTCCGAGCGATTATGACAAGCTCCATCTGATCTAAAGATACAGAAGGTGTCAAATTACCATGTGGATTTAGTGAGACTGATGCCATATTGAGATATGGTACTGTAAACAAAATAGTCCGTTAATATGTGCAACATTTGTGAAGGGATTTGTATTTCTACCTCAACATGCATTTTCTCCAATTTACAAACTTTAGCAAAAGCTTTGTGGACTCATCCAAGAAGGCCGTGATCTGCTGTTAAATGGTTGTGACAGGCTCTCTTAAACAACCAGTTTAAGAAGATGCTTGTGAAATTTGTCCAAGAGTGCCAATGAATTGATATTGAATGCAAAGAATGGGTGTAAATTTGGAATAAATACAACACTACTTGACCTATTGTTCTAGATGCTAAAACTGAGTTTATAACTTGAAATTCAGACCCTTCATAGACATAATATGGAGCCATCAACTTGTTGCATATGCTCACCAGGTCAGATTTCAGCCAAAGAACATCTGAAGAGCAGAAAATAGACATCAAAGAGACAGACAAACATGAAAGGGCTTCTAAGGAGTAAAGAAAGAAAGAGGAAAAGATCAATTCAACAAAGAAGAAGGCTTTCAGATTTGGCTTGGGTTGTGCCAAATATGTGTTCCAGGATATCCTCATTCAGAGATGTGTTAGCCAACAAATTAGATACCATAGGCACGCAATAGTGTTGTGTCAGTCCTAAGTTTGGGTATTTAAGGATAGAGGTGTAGGGACAGAGACCCATTAAGACATAGAGGTAGTATGTTCATGGTGAGAACACATCTTTTGTTAAGGTTTTATGTGACATTTGAAGATCTCTAGAGTTAAAGAAAGGAGGATAATCAGTTATTTATTATAATAATCTTTTTGTGATCAGTCATTAATTTTCTCTGATCATGTTCCAGTATTCCATTCTATCATTCATATATAATTCTATATTGATCAGTCATATTTCCCATTTTAATTTGCTTAATCGTTGCCTTACCAACAAGTTATCTCCTTCATTCCCTCCCTTTTCCCAGACTTGATTATTTTCTACTAATTCCCATACGTACTTACAGTATTAAATGAGGTTATAAAATTCCACAAATCAATGTCCCGTTGATTGATCATTTTCATTTTAATGAAACCAGATCTCTTTCTGGTGTTCAGTATTTAAAGTAAAATTTAACAAGTGGTTTGTAGTCGTATTAGCCCGTAAATCATTCATTTACCTAACAACACAACCAAGTGTAAATGGGGGAGATATGCCAGCTCTGTTCTCTACAGCTGATCTTAAGTTTGTTATTGGGAAATGTCTTTATAAATCATTCCTAGTAATATGGACAATTTGCTTTCTACACCTAAACCTTGGAACCTTGTCATGTTAAAGGCATTTTTCCCTAAGCCTGTTAAAACTAGATAGCGGTTAGCAAGGTTTCAGGACATCATAATACTACATTTTCCACACATGTCTGAATTCTTTAGTGTTGTGTCCTTCCTTTGTTTTTTTCATTAGAGATATCCACAATAAAGAATCTTACTTTTTTGGAATCTTATGGTTAATATGGTTTGATGATCAAAATTAAGATCTGTTGTGCTGATTTTTTTATTGAGACATTTCAGAGGAATAGGTTACATTGTACACCTTGCTCGAAGAGTTTTAATAGGATAAATCACTAATTCAAGATATGTAAGATATTATAGAAAATTTTCTTATTTACATAAGTATGTAGTTGTCAGTTAATCTCTTTAGAAATTCTCTTGAAATGCTAGTAGTACTTGCTGTATAGATCAGATTATACTAAATCAAACCCTGGAGTGTGGTAACTACTTTTTTGAGTTAACAACATGTTTTAATTCATTTTCCAATGAAAACATTAACATCGAATATGTACATTAATACTCTTAATTTATAGAATTCCTGTTAGAATTGTTATGATCCATTGAACAAAATCTTCCATTTTTTTTTTTTTTATTTAAATTTTTATGATTAAAATTCATAATTTTAGAAAATATTTTTATCAAAAAGACACATGTAGAGGTTTCATTGGTTGATATTCTTGTTTCATGTAAAATTTAACAACTAAAAATTTAGGATAATAGCAGAAGTTTTAATACATTTGCCACATACTATCAATTCTGTTACTACATATCTAATTAGATCAAATAGTTATTTAACCTGTTTATTGATAATACACATGGAAGTACTGATAAATTTGATTTTATTTGATTTCCGAATAGGCATGTCTTGTTTCAACACATAGAATCATGCATTCGAGGTACAGTTGTGTATAGTCATGTCCTATCAATATTTGTTTATAACATGTTAAGTATAATAATAGGAAATAGACTTAAACAAGTAGTGAATGTCCTCTGCAGAATTAACAAAATCAAAGTTTTATTCATCATAACAGGGCTGGCAATCTTCCACACCAAACAGAGTTATTGTTGATAAATTCTTTAAGAAAGTTGATCAGACAAATTTTAAGTTATCAATTTATTAAACGTTGCAGGATTTGAAATCAGCTGTTTAGTATGGTAAATTATTACATGCAAAAAAAAAATTTGATTTTTTGTTCTCACTGATCTAAATCCATCATTTTTCTTTTTAATTGATATTCGAGTTAAATAATTAAGAACGGTAACAGGCTTCCACAACATTTCTCATTATCATACCCAACTCTAAGTGTTTCATTTAAATGTAGATGAAGATGAATAGGCCAAGGGATACAAGTGAAAACTAGTAGAAAGTGACAACTTATAGTTTTGTGTACATATAGTGTGATTGTGCTGAACTTGAGCTTAACAGATGAATAGTTTTGTACACAGTTTGAACTGGTTTCTCAAACTTCAAGTGAATGTTTATTTTTCAGCCATTTATTGTACAGCCTTTTCAAAACATCTGTAGAAAATTCATATTGTCGTCCAACATTTCTTGGAGTAGAGAAAGACCTCAGTTTCTGTTTCTAAGAGGTCACTGACAGACTTTGGTGTAAATATATTTATAATAATACTTCAAAGATTTTCATCTTTATCAATCTACTACAGGAAATGTATTAGGTATATTATCCAATAAAATTCGATGATGATATTCAAGTCCTTGTTTTATATGAAATTATTTTTTTAATGTTGATACAATTTAATCACTTACTGATATATATTTTAAGAATGCAGAATTGTACTTTTTTTGTTATATATTCTGAATTTAGGTATATATATACTTTTGATACTGACTTTTACAGGTGTTAATCTCATAATATTTATTAAATATATATATCTGGGGTAAATTTTTTTCTCCATTCTATTTTTATGAAATATGCTTTTGTGAAAAGTTGTAATTCTTCGTGAAATTTTTGTTTAAGATTCTGCATTCTTGTGCAGAACCAAACCAACATGTTTGTGATATCTGTTGTACTGAGACTGTATAATCAGACTCATCATGGTATATTATTTGTGTTTATAAAAGTGTTTCTCTTCATGGTATGATGATGGACGATGTTTAACTTCGTCACTGAATATAAATTAAATGTTTTATCTGAGAAAGTTGTCATTATACAGTATCAGTA